AAAGTTTTTCTCTATACTACACAGTAATAATTGCAAATTAACTATCCAGATAGATCCTCAAAGATTTTATGAAATTTATATGCTTGAATTTCAAGTTTTGCATTTCTGCAGTACAAAGTAATGCCTATGATGCAGCTAAGGAAAAAACAGTTTCCTCCTATGTTATTTTATTTCAACGTGACACTTCATTTTTGCCAAACACTACTCATTTTTTGGCTTGTTAACTTGTAACCAGATGCTCTCTCTTAACAGACACCCTTTTTCAACGCTTCTTTACAGAGTGCTTAGAGTCTCTATGATACATGAATATACCACGAGAAAGGTACACGAAGCCTAAATCTTTACTTCATTTAACACTTTTACATCCATTCCTTTTGATTTTTAATTTTCTCTAAATAAGGTGACTCGTGGCTACTGATATAAGTATTAGCAAAACCCTTACAGGCTAGGAACACTTCATTATCTTGTGCTAACGTGTATGGAATAAATGTTGCTTTGTATTTACTTCTGCCTGATTATAACATTTCAATTCAGTAGTTCTGCAACAAGCTATTGTTTTATATCTTATGCAGAAGAAAGCAGACTAAGGCTTTTCAAGAATCCTACTGTGAGCCTGTCCTGTCCTTCAGGCTTCTAAATCTGATCTTTAGTGCTTAAGAGGACAGCTACTGATAGCCAGTGATCCACAGAAAGAGGTAAAAATGAGATGAAATGAGGCCATCTCTTATTTCACAGCTGGTTGGATATGATATAATCAAGGACTGCAAAATAAAGACACTGAAGAAGCGTGGACAACTTGAAGTAAAACCTGTAAAGATGAAATACTATTAATTTTTATTAAAAAATGAAGTAACGAGAGTGAAAGCAATTTAAGAGAAGAAAGTGTGATAAGGGAACAAGGAAAAGATAAATTAATTTTGCTTGAAAAACTAAGCACAAAGGAAGGGTGGGGCATTATTTTAAAGGATAGAAGAGAGACTGATATACATTGCATTTGACAGAAACCAAGCAAAAAAACCCCAAAACAATAGAAAGTACAAACTAAACTTACATAGCTTCTAACTTCCTTCCTAAGCATTCAAAACTCTCTAGGTAACACAGGCAGTAGCTTCTTTTATCTAGGGGCTTTGGTATCCTTTGGGAAAACTGTCATCAAAATCAGCTGGGGACTATTTGCAAGGATGTCAGGTTTAGAGTTTGGTTCAGATAAAGGGTGATGAAACAGAGTTGCACAAATATTAAAAATTCTAAAGAAAATGTATGGCTAAAGATATCAGCTAGCAAGTTGATGGCTGAGAGAGGAGTAAACTCCAAAGAAAAGTCAGGAATGTAAACAGTTTGTAGATTGTGCAAGAAACCCTACAAAAAGGTAGTGGGAGAGCAGAAGTGCAATCATGGACACGTCTGAGGATGAGACATGTTAAATTAAAATGGTGCAGAAAAATACCAGCATAGTTACAAGTTGAAGGATGAATTGAGACAGCAAGGTGGGAGATAATGTGCCTGATGAGACATCAGTGTGAACCCCAAAGACATCAAGTAGATATGGTGGCGTGAGGTCTCAGCCACATAGAGAGAAAGCAGGAGTAGTGGGTATTGAAAGAAATCTCTGTGCCAGAAATGAACAAAGAGCATAAATAACGAAGCCTACAACTTTCAAAATAACTTTAACTACCAAAACAAAAGCTTAATAAATAAGAGACTCTTTTATAAAAAACTATATATATATAAAAACCTACATATACATATGTATACCGCTGTATATAGTGGTCAGTGCCAAGAGCACCAATAGGTCTAATTATCCTGACCAGCCTCATCTGGGACCCAACCACAACTGCTCAGTGCCTTGGTCCAGGAGCTCCATTGAAGCTCAGGGCTGAGCACACTTACTTCCTGCAAGTTACAGGCAGACTAGTCTTCAGTTCTGCCTTCAGCCTTGCCTTTTGGATGAACCTTACCTCTATGTTATAGCTGTGTTTCCAGTCTAATCTTCTAATGCTGCCACCCTCTAACTCTACCTGCCCTATTCAGGTACTGTGGGACTGTCACTTAAGTGCTGGGGTCACCCTCAGCTTCTTGCGTAGCCACCTATACACTATTCCCTGATGTTTGGCTGTAATGGCACAGTTACAGGTTTTGGGTGTTTTCCAGTGATGATATTCTTCACTATATCCTTTCTTTATGCTCTGATTAAAAACAAGAGAGTGGGAAAATTTTACTGCACTTAAAGTACAGGGAGGAAATTTTAAAGGCTTAATGCTCAGAGTAGAGACAGATGACCTAGTAGTAAAACTAGATCTATCTGCAATAGAGTTTTCACCAGCTGTGAAAAGCTTGCCAAGTAAAGCACCTTGCAGAAGAAACCCTTCTGTACAAGCTGAAGTTGCAATAAGAGTTGTTCCTAGATGATACTGTGCTGGGAGCGAAAGTCAATCTCTATAGCAGAAGCAAGAACACAAAACAGTGTCTTCTGAAAGAGACAGCAAAGCTGTCTAGCACATACCTGAATTAACAAGTATATGTAGTGAACAGAAAAGAAGTGAAATTAATATGGTGAAATAGGAGATGAATCTTAAAAAAGCAACTGCTGTGAGCACAGCAAAGGCTGGGGAAAACTGGCACCATAATGGTCCTCACTGGAATTCACTGCAGCCCCTGGAATTTCTCACTAAGATGAATTGTTACTGTTGCTGCTTTGTTTTAGTAATAATAAAAGGTCACCCTTATTTACTGAGTAGTAAACTAAATCCAACGTGGTAACAGCTAAACTGGAAGCCATATGAAAGACTGCTTTTTATCTACAGATGTAATGGCCTTACACTCTCTGTTCATCTTCAAGCTCGTCCTAAAGGTACAACAATTTGTTCGTTGCAGGAAATGTTCATAATCATTTGCATTCCTCTGCAGTATAACCAAGGAATATCTCTTGTGCCTTAACAGATGTAGATGTTTAGCATTTTTTTTACAACTGGCTGTAGCTTTAGGAAGTGCAACCAGCTGATTATTCTTCTTCCAACAGCACCACCCTGAAGGAAACAGTTGAAAAGGGGGGGAAATTCAGAATATTACTGACTTCATACAGACTTTACATTTCTTCATAATGTATGCTAGAGCTCATGTGCTAATTAGAGTATTTAAATATCGTTTGTTAAATTATATTGATTGGACTGGACTAAAATATTAGTTATCATCTTCTGGAGTTCTTCAGGCTCTGCATGGGTTCTCTGCTCCTTGTTGTGAAATAATGAGAAACTCAGACTTGCCCAGGGAAAGAATGGCAAGATGTTCTCATGGCAAATTGAAAAAAAATTATCTTAAACTGACTCTTCTGAAAAAACTATAATAGTATTAGGAAGACAGGAAATTAGTATCACTGAGCCAGGAAGCTCTCACGGACAGGGACAGGAATAGGAATAGAATCCCATCCTGAGATGAGTCAGTGCAGATATGAGGAGCCCTGAGTGACATCAAGAAAACCTACTTGAAAAGTCAAAGATTCTTTTGATAAAACAAAGGTTGCCATTACCAGTACTGGAATGTGCAGACAGCAAAGTGTAATCAGTACTAGGTTTCAAGGTTTGCATTACAATGCTTTCTACTGTAAATACGCTGCTATTGTAAATTTATTTTTTACCTGTTTTGCTATTCACTGCTGATAGATGGCAGTAAATGACAAAAGATTTTCAGTCTATACTGCATTCTGTTCCTTGCTGTAGCATTTTTTTAGAAACAAAATGGTGCTGATTCCACACTAGCAAAATGTACGACCCCTGTAGAAGGCAATGGTTTGATTTAATGTTATACAGTTAAAGCAAATTATGAAACCTTTTCCATTGTGTTCCTATTCCCAGTGATACTGAAAGTTTTCTGAAACAATGTGAATATTTTTGTTGTGCACTGAATTGAATAGTTGTTTCTCTAGTTAATTGATGCATCTCAGGACACAATTTTAATTTTTTCCAGGTCATGATCTAGTTTTAACTTCCTTCTAGTCTTTAGATACAAACATGTAAACAATTCAGGTTATGCTCCATTACTGCTAAGACATGAAATGGTGTGAGGGAGGGAATTGCCTAATGGAGAAAGTAAATAAAATTATTATTTTGATTTTTTTATTGTAAAGTCACAGTTAACCTGCCTTCATATCTCGTTGAGTAAGAGAAAGTTGAGTCTATCTTCTGAGTTTTGTTAAATGTTGTTTCTAGTGTAGAATTCTGCCTGAAGACACATTTTTTAGAAAAAGCAAATGTGGGAGGGTGAGAAAAAAGTTAAGTGCAAGCGGGCATAGAACACCTCAAAGATTTTTGTGGTGTTCGGTTGGAGATTCAGCCTACTAAACAACCAGTTTCTGGCCTATATTTTTGCATGTTAACATCCACATAAAAGAAATTACATGCAAACACTTCTGGAAACGTTTGCTAATGAAAACTCGAGCACTGACTGAAAGTCAGGCAAATAGTTTGTGTGAGGTGAGCTTTCCAACTCCTAGGCCTGCTGCTGCAGCTGAGGAGCCCAGCCCCTTGCTGCCTTTGCCACTGGCCTCAGCAAGAGAAATGAGCTTTCGAAACTCTGGGTGAAAACTTAAGTAATGTGGAGATGTGAGAAAAGGTCAGTCACACAGCCTGACTTTCCACTTACCAGTCAAAATCACCTCAAGTTCAGCCATGTACGGCAAACGCATGTTTCAATGATTCTTGCCTGAGAAAGGCCAAGCCTGGCGACCTGGGATGCTCGAGGCGGGAAGCCCGGCTGGGTGCCTGTACCCCCATGGGGCCTGCTGCGCCCGCCCTCACACAGGAGACGGTTTCGTTGGGACCTTTGTCCTCTCAGCGCAGTTGTGCCCTCAGACATGAGGGGGAACAGCGCTTTTCTGGGGGCGCAGTAAGTACCTCACGGGGGACGTTCGCGAGTGGCAGTTCCCACCCCTGGCTGAGGGCGGCAGGTTTTGGGGGCTCCTGTGTGTCCCCGCCCCCCGCCATCCCCGGGCCGCCGCGGCGTGAGGCGGCCGCTGAGGCGGGAAGCTTGGGCCTCGCGCGCTGCCGTCCAGGGGAGCGCGGCGGCCTCACTCAGCCGCGGCCCGGCAAGCAGCGGCAGCCGCCCTTCCTTCCTTCGCCGGCGCAGCCGCCATGTCTGCCCTTACGAAGGCCTCCGGCGCCCTCAAGTCGGTGGATTATGAAGTGTTCGGGCGAGTGCAAGGTAAAGACGGTCTCCGGGATGAGGTGGTGGCGGCGGGGTTGGGGCGGGCGGCGCATGCGCGCGAGGCCTGAGGAAGCCGGGCGCCAGCTGAGGCGAATGGTGTCGTGCGGGGGAGCGGTCGCCGCCTCATCCCCAACGGGAAGGGGAAAAAAGTTCATAAATACGCCCCCGCTGAAAGGCTCACTCGGTTCACTGGGGAGCGCAGGCTGGTCTGTCAAAAGCATTTCGCGTTACTCGCGTTTGTGGTCGCATCTTCTGTCAGGTTATGTGGGAATGTCCGTCCCCCCCCCCGTCCCCCTTCGCCCTCCCCGCCTTGGCAACAAAACTTTGAAGTGAAAATTAAGTCAAAGGCAATTCCCAGGCTGCAGCATCTTCATCAAAGAAAGCCGAATGCGCTAACCGCGTTGATGAAGATAATCGTTTGCCAAAGGGAAGGCTTTCCTTTTTACCCAAATTCTTTATAGTTTGCCCAATGTTAAAATTTCAGAACTGCTCTCTGAAATGTCTGTAAAAAAGAACTACAGGTGACTTGTCCGCACTGTAACCTTATATTCAGTGATATTTCTGGAAGTGGTATTATTTCAAATTATTTTACTGTCTTTTTCTTTCTTCTTTCCTAGGTGTTTGTTTCAGGATGGTAAGGCAATGTCTGATTTATCAGTTCTGCTTTACAGTGTAGTATTTCCAGTGCTAAAAATACAGCAGCAGCTCTGTGGAGTGTAAACAGATCCAACCTGAACTTTGATCTCTAGGTTAAATGATTATTATTGCAAATGGATTTAAAAGGAAAAAAATACTTGGTTTATATTACTGTTATATTAAAAAGGATTTCTAAAAGCTTACTAATGTGTTGCTTCTTTGTATAGTATCTAAAGATTGTGTTTGGATTACTTGTGATAAAACAGCCACAAGAGTGTTATAACACGTTAATCTTTAGAAAGGTTAACCGAAGATCTTGATATTACCTGCTGAAACATTGTGTTCCAGTTTAATTTTTTAAATGCAGTTATAGTACCTATATTTAAGGAAGCTTGTTGTGTTTCCTTGTAACAGTGTGCTACAAACGTGCAGTCTGTGGCTCATATCCCAGCCAGACATCTCCACCAGCTCTGAATGTGCAGCAGGGAGTTTTGCGTTTCACAGAAACCCAAGAAACGAGGGCACGTTTCAAATAAGAACAGTTTTTTGTCTGAAAACAGTTGGCCCATGCTTAATGTTAGACCTAAAAGTTTTTATGCTTATTTTATATGTATCATTCCAATTGAAATGGATAGAGGATTGCAATATAGTGTGTCTTGAATTCGATTATTCTAGCAAGTGTAAAGTGTCTCCACGTGTTATGTGGTGGGCAGGTGCAAGCTTGCTGTGCCTTGTTTTGGTCTGACCTGGAGCCATGTGTACACACAACACACTGCCAGTCCTGAGCTAATAAGCAGCATTGAGAAGCTGGTTGTCAGCTGCATTCCTATGCTTTTGAACAAGTTCATATGGAGAAGCTGCTCATAATCAACTGGAAAAATATTCTTCGTAGTAAGCAGCACTTTTTCATTGCCTAGATTGCCCCAAAATTTGTTTCATCTTTTGGAATATAGTCATATCGATCTGAAGGCTTTCCATTGCCTACCATTCCAGTGTTCAGAGACAAATTATGAAAACCATGCATATATTTCATATGTACCTGAAAGATAGAAAATGAAAGTTTAAAAAAAACCAAAAACAACTGACCGCCTCAAAACACAGGGTACTTAGAAGTTCCTGATTTCATCACAAGAAGTCAGTAGCTGGGAAACCATAATTCGTTGTGGTATTGAAAAAATATTATAAAGCCAGTATAATTAGGTTATGACTTTTGCTGCTATTTGTTAGTTGTAATGCAGCCGCTGGGGATAGATTTTGAGATGAAAGTTAGGTGGAAATGATTTAAAAGGAAACTGAAGAAAAGGAACTGTGAAGTTGGTACATGTAGCAAATTTAATGAGTTTAGACACTGTGATGGTTGAAGAGGCAAATGAGCCTCTATAGAAAGGAGTAGAGCTAGGTACAAGGGAGTGCTGTGGGATTAGCAGAGTCCTTTGTGTTAAGAGTTCCTGAAGTAAGGGGAGCGAGTCTTTGGCATCCCTGTGAATAAAAAAAAAAAGCCCTACACCATCAGAAGGTGTCTATGTATATACATACAATAAAGCAAAGAGGAAGATGACTAATTACGAGCAGTGTAGTATCTTGGTGGGAGACATTGTATGTATAGCTTTTTGAAGAAAAGTATTAAAAGCTGTGAAAATGGAAGTGGGAATTAACTCATGTATATGAGTAATTATGTATATGTAAAATGTCATTCTTGTTCAAAAGTTGGCTGCGTCTGCTGCAACTTCAGAGCTGACAGGAATATCTTAATGCTTCAGTATGAGCATCATCTATGGATGATTTTTTTTTCTTAAGTGTATGCTATGAAAGCTATGAAAATGAAAGGGGTTTTAAGTGGTGTACACGTGATATATGTGCTGACACTGATTGTCCTCTTTCATTATTTTTCAAATCAGTACACAGAAGAGGAAGCTAAGAAATTAGGAGTGGTTGGCTGGGTTAAAAATACCAGTCAAGGAACTGTAACAGGCCAAGTTCAGGGCCCAGAAGATAAAGTAAATGCAATGTAAGTATTCTTGTGTTTTTTCTTAGTCTTACTAAAGTCATTTACAGAAGCTTTTTTAATCCAAAGTGATAAGTAGATTCACATATCAGCAATGTAATTGTACTTTCAATAATTATTTTGAGTTTTGAGCAGCTGAGAAGATGCTTTGTTTAAGCTGTAAAAAAAAAAGTCTTTAAGGTTTAAAAATAGTCTGTGGCATCAGTCAGATTTCATTTCTAGTGTCACACAGTTTGTCAGTGTATTTCCCTAACATACTGTTTTCTTATGAAATGAAAAAAAGCCTTTATTCATACACGTGACCAAAGAACTGTTTTTTAATTGTTCAAACTTGTCAATTAAGAAACAGAGTGAGGAACTTATTGAAATGCTTTCTTAGCCTGTACTTATATTTAAACCTTTTCCTTTAAGTTGATTTGATTTTTTCCTGAATTAAAAAAATTAATGCATAAATACACATTTCATCAAGGCCTGTAGTCTCTACCTTCTGGAAATAAATTTTGAAATATTTTGGTGTCTTTAGAAGAACGGGTGTGATTTTCTTTAGGAAATCACCAGTTGCCAAAAGCTTAAAGCCTTAGGAGATGATGCCTGGAAAAACACAAAACCCAATACAATTGCTTCCAACTATAATTTTTTGCAAGTGTATGTGGGGAGATTGTAGGGAGTTTTTAAAAATCTCTCAAAGAATGAGCAATGATAAAACTTTCCTTTGTTAAGCTTTATTATGGATGGGTAATTATTTGTGCAAAGTCGGACAGTTCTTTCTGACACAGGAATTGCTTCAAAACTGAACTTGGATAAAATGAAGTTGGGTTTTTGTATAGAAAATAGTGTTAGACCTTTAATAGCCTGATCTAAATATTTTGTAAATTTAGTATCTTGGTACCACCCCTCTAGCTAATTTAGAGCACTGAAAATGAACGTATGAAGAATCGGAGTTTGATTTCTGTTTGTTGGAGTATTTTCTCATGCAAAAATTTCTAGTCAGTTGATTTATTCTAATTGAGCAGATTTAAGTGAAAGCACAGCCTAGCTCCTGATATTTCTTGTATTTGCATGAATTAGAACAGAACACAGTGTTTTCTGCCATGCTTTTCCCTTCCCTGTTATCTATGTCAATGAACTTTAAAGGAAACTGTGCTTACCCCAATACCAGAAAGTTTGTGTGTATTATGGGATCTTGTAATGGAGCTGCAAAATTAGAATAACAAGACTTGGCTTGTTCTCAAAGATGTGTTGGCATACAGACTATTCCAAAAGGAAATTAAAGTTTTTATTTTTCATTGTTACGCAATTTTAAGTAGGATCAACAAGCTGGATTGTGACTGAAAAAATAATATTGTTGAAGCTTTTGATGTACATTGCGTTTGATATTCAGAGCAAATAAAGTTGTTTTGAAATGTCTCTTCTTCGTTTCATGCTAGAAATCAATGTTTTCCTCTGATGTCAGCATAATGTTGCAATGCTGAAGTCGAAGTATGGTTTTTGAAGTATGCATTATGATTCAAATTATTAAATTGGAGATCCTACAGTAGAATGCTGAAAGATAAACACTTTTCCTTGCTTCCTGTGTGGGATCTGATTTATTGAAAATGTAGTGAATTTATTTTTGGCATTAAGTTGGTGAACTTGCATGTGAAAAGGGAGCTATTGTATATGAACAGCTACTTTAAAAGGCCTTTATTTTAAAAGGCTCTTATTTCTCTTTGCTAGTACATATTAATAGAAGACCAAAATAGGTTTGAATTCTTGAAGTTTTTTCCAGAGCCCATAGAATTTTTTATCATGCTTCCTAAGAAATCATAATACTGTGTTCTAGATTCAATGGTTATTTAAAATGATATATTAAATAAAAACAAAATGAGGCTTGCTTCTGCTCTGGCAAATTAATATAAAACAGTAATCCTAAACATACATTTGTATTTAAACTGTGATAAATAATCTGGAAGAAATTCTGGCACTGAATTCCTATGCAAGCTGTGGTTTGTATTTGCTAGATATTCAGAACTTAAGAGACTGTATGTGTATGAATCTTCTTAAAAATTTGTAGATCTCTATGATCAAAGAAATTGAACGCTTTTCAGAGAAATACAGTGCCTCAATCAATATTGTAAGATGTTTCAAGACAGATTCCTGGTGAGTGCTATTTCAAATATGGGAACAATGTGTAACCTTGTAGAAATTTTTCAGGAATAGTTTGTGCAGTGTCTTTTGGACAGGTGTTTTCACACTTGCGTAAGTTTCAAACTTAAACTTTTGGGACAAAATAGTATGATTTTCATAGATGCAGCACCTGGACTTTTAAAAATCATTTATTAATGGTAATAAAATGATTTTTCAGTTGTTTTACTGGTTTTGGCTTGTTAATATTAGTATTTTTTAGGGGGAGCTGGAAGGGGTGTTTTGGTCTATCATAAACAATGTTTATCTTATTATGATGCTAAATACTCAATAACATAGAGTTAAAAAAGTAGGGATACCATAAGAAAGTACAATTCTAGAATAGGTAAATAGAAAAAGACAAGGTGGGAGGATGGAAAAGAGGAATAAGGGTTTGAGAGGAGGATAAAGATAGGGAAAGTGTAAAAATGTGGGAAAAGCACCGTGAGGCAATCCAACATTTCCAGAAGCATGGATTGAATAACAAAGCCTGCCTTTGTTCTGGAGCAGTAATGCGGCAGACCTCTAAGCCAATGGTTTTCCAGCAGCAGTCCTTTGCTTCTGATTTTCTGACCCTTTTAATTCTGTTTTGTACACTGCTTGCATTGTGAGGCATAGCCAGGAAGCGTCCGGTATGGGCTCAAGAAACAATGCCTTTATGTGATTATCTTTTAGTGCAGGCTGCAAGGTAAAATATAATCTGTGAGGAATCATGAGGACAGTGCTGGTGATGTATTCTAAGCACTACTGTAATGCACGTGCAGAGCCTAGACGGAGAGAGAACAGAATGAGTAGGAAGTGGAAAAAATAAGATTTTAAGCAGGAGAGTTGGAGGTATGACTATGCACCCATACTTAAAGCTCTCTAGTGAAGTGAGAGCACATTAGAGAAGATCTGTTTTGAAAATCAGTTGGCCAGATCGTCTTTGGAGAGTCTTGGGTAGTCAAATGCAACTTTATTGTGTTTGAATTGAGGGATTAGATGTGGGAAGGCAGCCACAGGCTACTTAGTGCTGCAGATGCAGCACAGGAGTGTTTGCTAATGCAAGCAGTCGGCTGCAGGTTTGGTTCCTTCCCATCTTCCCAGGGAAAAGAACTGGCCTGTTTTACCTGAGCCTGGTGTAGTTTCTTAAGCATATGCTGAAACTTGGATTTTGTCCTAAAATATGGAAGTAATCGTTTCCTTGCAGACATAAAATATGATGATGATGAATTTGATAGGTGACATGCAAAGCAGGGTTTGCTTTGGAGTGAGTAATAGCTTAGAAGGAGTATTTTGACTCTTGCATAAATAAGTGGGAAATGATAGGTAAATATGAGGGATTGAGGACTAAAAAGTGTTGCACATACAAGAAGTTTCATTCTTTATTGGACCATTCATTTAGTGTTGAACATGGGTATAAATTTTCGCTGACGTCATGCTGGAAGGCTGACTTTGTTGATTTACATTCTGTGCTGCTGAAATCTTGATCACACTGAATACGAGCAAAATGTACAGACTTCCTTAAGGCCAGGATTTCGGTGTGAATTTCACTGAAATGCAAGAAACTTAAGATATGAATGAGCAGTTTTTGATTTTAGATATTTTCTTTCAAGATTTTTCTTCAGTTTGTTTTTAATGAAAAGCTTAGATTCTTAAAGATCAGGTAACTTTTACATAATGTATTTTGAAGCCAATTTTTTATTATAATTAGGAGATCCTGCAGACCATTTTTGAGAGTAGTTTTAAAAAGTCTTGAAAACCTTTTACCTGTAAGCTTGTTTTAATATCCCTTGCTTTTTAGCCTCTAGATGGAGCTTTTTGTTCTGTAGATACTTTCAACTATACGTGTTTCATTTGAAGTCAATCTATTTTTAGACTGTTAGGGTAGACTCCATCTTTTTCTTCACTACCTTTTTCCCTACTGTATTTTATAGTCCTGTTCTGTTTGCTGCTATTGCTCCACACAGGTAACATCCATTATCCGTACAGTCTTACATTTCTATAAGTCGAAGAATGTAGTGATATTTTTTCCCATTTTATTCATCAGAATGAGGTTAGAGCCTTCCTATCCATTGTGGTGGTTGCCATAGCAACTTACAGTGACAGGCTGGAAATTGCTTTCCTATGAGAATTTTTTGAACTTTGGATGATGACATATTAGTTATCCATTAAAAAAGGAAGAGAAGTCTCTTGTAATACGCATTGCCAAGTTCAGAATTTATTACAAAGATTACAGATCAGGCTGACACTTTAAATGTATTGCCAAGTTCAGAATTTATTACAAAAATCAAAGATTACAGATCAGGCTGACACTTTAAAATGTAAAATTCTAGGAGACATTTTTTAGACACAAGAAGTATGTATAAGCATTCTAAGGATTCTTCCTGTCTTTGTAGAAAGGCACATTTTTTAGACACAAGAAGTATATATCAGCATTGTAAGGATTCTTCCTGTCTTTGTAGAAAGGCATGATATTAAATATAGATTGCTTGTCTTGGAAATTGTTTTTAATTAGTAAATTAATGCTAATTTAATTTGAATGATTTAATTTTTAATATTGATGTCAGTTAAGAAGAATTAATATTATGTATGTCAATGACACAAGACTTTAAAATTATTTCTGTGTGTATGTGCACCGAAAAATATAGATTTTTACCACATAAAAGGGGAGAAGAGAACTCTGTAATAGTTAATATTGCAACTGTCACTCTGTTTCATTAGTCAAGTGTATCCAAGATTCCTGTCTGTACCAACTAGCACTGAAGTGGAACATAATGCTAATAAAAAACCCGCTCCATATTTAGACTGGCTTCCTTGAGCGAGATTCTAGATCTTCATATCCGATTTATGTTGATATA